ATAAAAACAGGACGATGAATAATGTTCAGAAACATAATATTTGTACTAATGTACCATCGTAAGTAATCCTACCACCCATCTTAACTGATCTCTGTTTAATTTTAACAGGTCCTTCGTTCTTCTGGCAGAGGGTCCTGATATAACTCCCTTTGCCTGTTTGAGTCAAGTCGGTTGGTGAGTTAGTGAGTTAGAGGACTGCTGCGGTTCAGTCGTTATGAGCCGTTGCTGTTAAGAGCTGGTAGCTGAGGCCGGGGACAATTCGGAAACCCACAGAGGAAAGGTAACGTCCGCCTTTGGAAGCTGCTACCAAGCAACCCATAGTGAAGGCTGTAACAAAGTGAGAAGTCCTAGTATGTCCTGTAGCGATTTGTGAAGTTTGTAGATCCGTGAGAGCATAGTCCTTACGTGTCGTTATGAGTTGTCAGAGTTCAGTAAATCCGATTAGCAGTCCAAACCCCGTCTATAATCGCTCTGTCACGTGACAATATCGTGTCCCTCTCTCGTCCTTCATGAAATCACCCCAGCATTTTTAGGTTAGAAATTGTAAAGGACTTTATTGTGTAATTTTCTCCATCCTCTCTCCTCAGCACTTCATCAAGCACCCTCACGCTCTCTGCTTTACGTAAAGTTAAGAGATCAAGTTACGCATTCATATACAACAGACTGACTGACTACTAAATTCCTGCTGGCACTCGCCAGTACAGCGATTCTTGGTTCTGGGTCCCGCTGAACTCATGACCATATTTTATTGCCTGATGGCTCTTTGAGCTTCATATATTTGCACGTGAGGTAAAGTAGGCTGTTGTTGTATACGGGTGTTAATGCTCGGCACGTTAGTGGGCGTGTTCCATTGTTCTTATTGCAGAAGTAAAATGTTAGCTAATATCGGCACTAGCTGGAGGTGAGTTGTCAGCTTCACGCCTTGGGCACTTTATCCCCCAGGAAAGAGCACGCGGTGCCCATTGGATAGGTGACTCAGTGGGCCCTAGAACCGGTCTGGACGACATGGAAAAGAGAAAACTCTTGCTCCTACCGGGACTCGAACTCCGACCCCCCAGTCCAGCCCGTAGCCAGTTACCATACTGACTGCAATGTCGATCTATATATCCGCACCCCTATACGCGTTCTTGGCATAGTGCTTAATTAGTTAAGCACAGGGACAACTTTACCTGTTTACAAAGCGAATGTACACAACATAAAATATGCATCTCGTTTATTATGATTTTGGTTTAATTAGCTCAGACCACTGTATAACCACTGATGATTACATGATTAAGGAACAATTAATTGGAAATAATATGGAAGGTAGTGGCCGTGGCCAATGTGAAGAGTTATCCTGACATTTAAATGCTGCAGCGCTTGCCTGATAAAATTTTCAGTTGGAGCACTATTTATTGAAATGTAGGCCAACTATGAGTATGAGGGAGGGGTCATAAAATCCGGCCCTCGCACCGCGACCTTCAGTGCTCTATTGTGCTTTTCCCGCCTTGGCACTACAGCCCAAGTGGGCCTAGGCCTACCTCCATGAACTTCTCCATTCACTTCGGTTTTTCTAGATCTTACACATTTGGTAGGACTCCTTGGGCGGGTGATCAGCCTATTGTGCTTTAGGCCAACTATATTTCTGTATCGATATCTCTCTGTATATATAGTCTGTCATAACATGCACAGTTTGAATTGACTTTTTCTTTTGTATGTTTGCAAGACCGTTTGATGTAAAGTTTATTCGAAGCCTTGTGGGGCTCATATTAAATTCGATGTGTGTCCTTCTATACGCATGAAACAATTCAGAAATCGCAGAATGGATTTTCATGATATTTAATACTATGGAGTTTTAATAACATTTTTCGAGACATTCCAGTTTTGGTTAAAAGCGGACACATATACGTACTCTTTGCTGAAAGCCCCACACACATTTCTGTGCCTATCTCGAGCGTAAGTTGTTGAATATTTATCATAACGAAACTGGCTCGAATAAAAGTGAAATATATTTTGTGTCTAATACAGTTCTATGGTGATGACGTAAATCTGCTGGGTGGTAACAAATACCATAAAGAGAAACACACAAACTTTAATTGACGCAAGTAAAGATGTTGGTCTAGAAGTAAATACAGAGTAAACTAAGCATATGTTGCTGTCTCGTCACCAGAATGCAGGGCAGAATCATTACATAAAGATAGGAAATAGATGTTTTGAAAATGTGGCACAGTTCAGATATTTGGGAACAACGATTACAAATCAAAACCTGATTCAGAAGGCAATTAAGAGGATATCGAATTCGGGTAATGCTTGCTACCATTCAGTCCAGAACCTTTCGTCTTCTTGTCTGCTGTCTAAAAACATAAAAATTAGAACTCATTTCATTCATCTGTAATCTGTCAAGACGACAGGTCCACAATCTCTTCCAAAACAGTTCCTCCACTTGATGCGATCTAGAGCTTTCACCTTCAAATGAAAATATCCTCTTCTGTCCCCAAGGTCATCCAGCATCTTCTTACGTCTTCTTCCTCGTCTTCTGGTCACTTCTATCCGCCCCTCTATCTTTCCTTCAATAACTTCTTTTAGAAGGCAGTTACTGCATAAGATATGGCATTAAGGGAGGAACACAGACCGAGGGTGTTTGAGAACAGGGTGTTGTGGAGAATATTTGGACCGAAGAGAGATTAAGTGACGGGAGGCTGGAGAAAGGTACATAATGAGGAGCTTCATAACTTGTACTCCTCCCAAGGTATAAATCAAATGATCAAGTCACGGAGGATAAGATGGGTAGGACATGCAGCACGAATGGGGGCAAAGAAGATTGCATATAGTGTTTATGCAAAAGCCAGAAGGAAAGAGACCACTAGGAAGACCAAGACATAGGTGGATGGGTAATATTCAAATGGATCTTAGAGAGATAGGATGAGGTGGTATGGACTAAATTGATGTGGCTCAGAATAGGGACCAGTGGAGTGCTCTTACGAACACGGTAATGAACATTTGAGTTCCATAAATTCTTGGAAGTTCTTGAATAGCCACACAACTGGTCGTTTCTCAAGAAGGGCTCAGCTCCATGAAGTTAGTTTTCGGTAATACAGTTTCTGCTTATGTGTTATGGTTTTCGAGACAATTAAGATTGCATTTCCGAAGTTGCAGAGTTAAAGACTCGGTGGTCTTACGAACACGGACTAAGATTACCGAACAACAGACAGTGATTTTCCGAATGCAGGCGAAGATTACCGAAGTTTCTTGCGTTCAGTAATAATATAAGAAACTTCTTTCCATCCAAATTTATAGATATACGTGTTTATAAGTAGTCATATATATTTCATTGCGCCATGAATGATTATGCTGCAAAAATCTCTTATTCTAGATCACAATAGGGCGTTCTGCACACAAATCTATACTGCAGATTTCTCAACAAAATATAATAATTAAGAGGCCGCATAAGATTCTTTTCTGTGGTAGGCATAACTACAGGCACATGTTTTTGTGTAAATCCTATCATTTATTGTTTTTGCTTGGAGTAGTTCGTTTTATCCTATTTATAAGAATATTGAAAGTTGGCATTAACGAAATGAACATCTGGAGGCAGGATGAGAGCTTATGCGCCAGAACAGTATATTTCCTAATTTCCGTTCTGCAACAGCGGAAGTTCCAAAAAGTGAAGAATTTCCCAATTTGTTACACTCCACGTATGGGAATGAGAGTACATCGTCGTCAGTGACGTAGACCGTTACGTCATCTATGTAAAGTTACTAGATTGTATTTTCAACATACTTCCGGTTTTATATCCCGTTGGGAAATTCACACGTACGAGTACGCAGGATTTCTCTTCCGTAAGGTTGCCTACCTTGCGACGAGCTGATCACCCGCCCAAGGAGTCCTACCGAATGTGTAAGATCTAGAAAAACCGAGGTGAACGGAGAAGTTCCTGGAGGTAGGCCTAGGCCCACTGGGGCTGTAGTGTCAAGGAAAGAAAGGTTGCCTACACGATGAATGACGCACTCAGGTTCGTAAAGTAGATGGAATTTATTTACAAAAGCTTATTCAGTTGGTATGTTTCCATCATAACGATAACGCATAATTTATGTTGTTGAAATGGCATTAATAGTGATTGCCTTGAACTGGCGATGCATACTTCACTGCTGTCACGTCTATTAAGGAGTGGGAGCTGTAGGGATTATATAATGTGATTCTAAATTATTGTCGGGGTTTCCGTGGCCTGTAATTTTCAAACTGGAAATAATAAAATAAACTGCTTATGGAATATGAAAGTGGAACAAGAGTTTTATTTGACAACGCTATACTCGCCGCATTGATATCTGGGAGAAAATATGACGTCATACCTCAAAATGATGACTGTTCAAGAGAAAGCAGCGTGCGTACTTTGGTTTTCCGAAACAAAGTTCGTTATCAAAACGCAACATCAGTATGTTACAGCACTTTTGACAGAGTTATTTCATGTATAGGATGAACAGGGTTAATCCAGGTCTGTGTATAGGCGAACACTCGGTTAAGCAATGGCGTCCCAAGATGGCGACTGACCCACTGCAAGGGGAAACTACAGGTCTGGAGACGCGTGCTATAGAGTGTGTGTGAAGTAGGGTGGAACATGTCGCTGTATCGCGCCCTGACGCAACAGATTCTCCTTTTCATTGACTAGGAGTCGGCCTAGAGCCTTCCCTAAGAGAACAAGCATTTATTGAAATAATTACATGCATCGTGCAGCTGACGAAAATTTGAACAAGATACATGATGTTCCTGACGAAGTACTTTCCTTACAGCGACCGACCGACCATGTAGTCCGTTCTGAAGCTGTCTGTCTCACGACAGGACAAGTTTACATATGTAAGATTTGAGGCTTTCACGGCGGTGACTATGAAGAACGCAGTCTTCTGGGATTTGGCACCGTGTATATGTGGTGTTAACCGACGTTTCGGAGGAAAGTATCGCCTCCATCTTCAGGGTAGAAGANATGTTCAGGATAGAAGAGTAAGTCATGCAAGAAACCAGCTTACTTTTCGACCTTGAAGGTGTAGGCGACATGGTTGTCCGAGATGTAGGGCCCTCTCCCAACTGTACGTTACGAATCAGGGGACGATACTCTGCAACATTACATACATCGATGGTCACGGAACATCAGAGATGAACAGAACAGTAAACGACAAATAAGAAAAGAAACAGAGTTACAATTTATAATATGAACACAGCTTCCACATTTTTATACTGACAAGTGGTTGAGTGACTAGAGACGGGGTTTGGATTGGTACTCGGATTTACTGCACACTTATACAACTCGTTACTACGCTTCACAGATGGCTACGGGACACACAAGGTCTTCTACTCTTGCCGTGTCTTCACCAGTCGTTGTATGATGACGGTTCCCAACAATGTTTTCTGCTTCCGTGCTCACGTTCTTGCCGGCTGACGACTGTCTCACAGCTAGCTTATTAATCCAACTGACAACTCTTGACTAACTCTCACTGTCCTTATATCTCGGCACGGACCGCACAGAAAACACCGTTCCTCTGTTGTATTTACATTTATTGTCATACACACTCACTTGTTTGCTGTTGTATAGCTGCTTTCGCAGCCGTTGCCTAGCAGTGGGTCTGCATGCCACAATACATAGACCTATAAGTGAGACATAGATAGGTTAACAAGAATGACAAAAATCCAAGCAGCGTAAACTGTTAAGAAGTTGTCAGGAAGGAACAGGAAATTTAAGAAAAATGCCGTCTTCTTGGATGTGGCTCCGTGTAGATCTTGTGTGAACAGGCGTTTCGGAGGAACGTATCGCCTCCATCTTCATGGTAGAAAAATCCGCCAACAAGGAACCATCGTGAGAAGGTGGCTGCAGACTGAGCTTAGTCTGCAACCACATGGCAATGCACCATCTGGTTCTAGACTAGGAATTTATTAACTAGCTGAGCTTGTAGATTCGAAAGAGTTCTGACGATGATGTACGAGTATAACACTCGAGATGGCTGTTTTTTTCTTTTTTTTTCCTTTTTACTTTTTCCATCATCAGGTATTCTAAAGAACACGACGTTTGCGAAACTGGATCTGTTTCCGTCATCAGGTGAGGGGTGAGAGACACCTACTCTGTTGGGTCCCTTAGAAAGACCTAACCTCTAACCTCCCACGCAGTAGTGTAGTTGGTCCAGGCACTATGCTACAATCCGGAAGGTCACGGATTCGATTCCCGATGGGGTCATTGGATCTTTCAGTTGACCTAATCCTTCCAGCCGCACTATGACCCTGGGGTCCACTCAGCCTGTGACAGAAATGAGTACCAGGAATCTTCGGGGGGGGTGGGGGGACAGCCGGTGCGTAAAGCTGACAACCTCACCGCCATCTGTGAGCCGACTGTCTAGAAACTTTGGAAGCCTCGACATCTCACAACCCTATGGGCCTCCACGGCCTGTTACAGTGTTAGCTTTACCATAACCTAACCTCTAACCTCTAACCTCCAGCGATCGAGATTAGCCTTTTCTATCGGACCCAACAGAGTAGATGTCTCCACCCCTTACCTGGGGCGGAAGCAGACCCAGTTTCCTAAACGTTGTCTTATTTTGTGTTCTTCAGAATACCAGACTGTGGACAGAGTCCAGAAACATAGTAATCCCGAGAACTGCTAGGTTCTCGAGGAGGACTCAGCTGCAAGGTGTCATTCGAATTGAATACACTGCAAAGATCCGGGATAGCGCAGTCGGTATAGCGACTGGCTACGGGCTGGACAATCAAGGGGTCGGAATTCGAGTCCCGGTGAGGCAAGAATGTTCCCTTCTCCATGTCGTTCAGACCATCTCTGGGGCCCACCCAGCCTCCTATCCAGTGTGTAACGGGAGTTCCTTCTCCGGGAGTAAAGAGACAATAGCGTGAAGTTGACCACTCAGCTCCAACTAGTGCCGAGGTCAAGAAAACGTGAGTCTATATATACAATCCCCCGTACGTCTTCATGGCGTAGTGCTTAATTAGTTAAGCACAGGAACAACTTCATATTTACACTGCAAGGAGTTAAAGAACCACTGCGAGGGACACGTTACAACACAAGAGAGGAGATTATTCGTGCTGTAGGGCGGTCACTGCTGGACATCAACAGAAGTGGACGCACTGATGGTGTACGACGCCTTCCACAAATTTGGCAGAAGGTGGTACACATGGGGGGGCGATTATATTGAAGGAATGTAAGTGTGTTTACCTCAGGTAATAAAGTCATTTCAGAACTATAGAGGTGTTGCCACTACTTTTTATCCAACCCTTGTAGAAGAGGCAACTATAATACCTGACAACGTAGCACACCAGTAGCTTATGCCCGTGTGGAGGCGTGTTCGAATACCTCCACCGAAGCCCTGGAAGTAGTAGGAGGCGACGAAAAGTGAACCCAGTTCCTGGGGGTATAACCGGGACCTGGCCTTCAAGGTTGGGGGAGCCTCTAATCTTCGACAGTAAAATAAGGCTATGAGTCCCGCGGGACTCGGACCCGAGTATAACTGCACTGGCGAGGGCCAGCAGCAATTGCAAACGACAGAACCATCCTCTCATCAGAAAGGATGTTACATAAGGAGTATGACGGCAAGGGTTCGGTTGAAGAAAAGTCGCTTGTCGTGAGCCTCAGGGGGCTTGGCGCCAGTCGTAAAGTAACTTTGACTTTGACTCTGACTATGACCAATAGCTTGCAAGCACGAAAAGAAATTTTACCTCCAAGACTGCCTTTGTGTATTAAATGATTAGCAACAAACTCGTCACAGAAGAAGACCACTTCACTACGCTGTAACCTCACTGCTGGTAGGAAAGTAGGCAATGGAAATCGGTAGCAAACCGACTCTTCTGGTCGCGCGCTACTCTGGTTGAGAAAGTCGCTGAAACTGAAGTTTCAACCTCGTCGCTGGGAGAGACCTCAGAAGAATTGATGGGACAGTTGTAAACAAGAAGAATCAGTCGCATGCATTGAGGTTCGCACATTGAAGCGATCGATTAACTGGCAACAAAGACGTGGTTACCTCTAAACTATGAACTTGTATTCGAGAAGTGCCCGGTTCACATCTTGGCCTGGATACCGGCTATCCTCATTTAAGGTTTTCGTGGTTTTCCTCATTTCTTTCAGGCAAATGCCGGGATAGTACCCCGATTAGACCACTTCCACTTTCTTCCACACCCTTTCCGTTTCATCATTCATTAATCNTGTAATTTCGGTACCGAACAACTCGATAAATATCCCCCCCCCCCAAATACTCGACAACCTCGCTGTTCTGTGACCTGCGCACCTGAAGTCGGTAACAAACCGGCCCGTCCGATCGCACTCAACTTTGGATGTGAAGGTCGCTGAAGACAAACTTCCAGTCGCGTCTGTGGGAGAGCTCTTATACAAAGTGGTGGGAGAGTCGCATGTCACGTACCACATTTTCATGCCTTCGGTTTGCGCCAGTTGGAGAATAGTCTTAGCTTTTCTAGTTTCCTAGACTGTTCCCAGTGACTGGGACTAGTTCTTTCTAACGAACCGCAATGAGTATGTGCCCTCATTTGAAGATGGAATCAAATCTAGCTCCCGAAACTTTGTGGTCTTGTTTTTAAAATATCAGATGGTGGAAAGAATCAGGGAACTAGCAGTAGTAATTACGAAAATACACATGCTAGAAATTATAGCCCGAAAAATTGAAGGAAAGAGGCTACTTGGGAGACCTAAACATAATACTTAGTACATTGACTCTTCGGAGCATTGTATCACGATTTAGACTGGACCCAACTGACCCAAGAAAACAGGAAGAATGAAGTACGGTTATCTGAAAGAGATTAAATTAAGTTTAACTTTTGGCATCCAACATTTTCAACGAAATACCTATTCTAACTCTAGACCTATTTAAAATTTGGTTCATACTCAGTACTAAACCAATGTAGACTCAGCGCCCGCAAAATGGAATTATTTCGATTAGTTTTCGCCAAACAAAATAGTCCATTCAATGGCAGGCTTTTGTGACTATGCCAAGCAACTTTTTGGTTCTGTAACAAGCAGGGAATTTCATGGCTAGTTGAATGACTAAAGACTTTCCAAGATCCTTTGTCTTGAAGTAATTTGAAAAAGTATTTGGATTCCCACCTCTCACATTCATGGCCTGTGTTAATTACGAAGAGCAGGTGCTTGTTTGGAAGTTCCCAAAATAATAGTGGCGACGGGATCCTCCGAGGATATGACGCAACACGTAAACTGCGGAGCGAAACGAAAGCAAACAGGCGCGTTTGGCTCACAGCCCGGTAAAATTAGCTCCATTTCCATACGATTGTATTTTAAGCCCTTTGAGGTACGTCCATCTGTCGCATGAACCAGCGCGGCCCCCATTGACAGAATTTTCATGAAATGTTTTAGCATTGTTCTTGGTAATTCAAAATAGAGGATACAGTCTTCTAGTTTGTAACGCCATATAGTTCGGAGAACGTTTGACGTTTCAGAAGAACATATCGCCTCCATCTTCACGGTCGAAAAGTAAGCCAAGAAAGATATATGCAGAAGCAGGCGGAAAACTGAGCTTTCCCATAGGCTTACATACGACTTCCGCATGCATCTACCTTCACTCGGCAAGCAACTGACCATTTTCAGGGTCCAGCCGAGGTACCATTCCCTTGCGTGCTTTGGGTCCCACTTGAGTTCCCCGTCAGGCAGTGTCTCTTTCTGAGTCCCCTTACAGAAGATGGACATTCTCTCAGTAGTTCTCTCTGAGTCCCCTTATAGACATTGCCACCATTCCAGTGGCTCTGAGTCCCCTTAGAGAAGATGTGCACTCTTCCAGTAGTTCTCTCTGAGCCCTTATAGACACGGCTACCTTTCCAGTGGCTTAGAGTCCCCTTAGAGAAGATGGCCACTCTTCCACTAGTTCTCTCTGAGTCCCCTTATAGACACGGCTACCTTTCCAGTGGCTCTGAGTCCCCTTAGAGAAGATGGCCACTCTTCCACTAGTTCTCTCTGAGTCCCCTTATAGACACGGCTACCTTTCCAGTGGATCTGAGTCCCCGTATAGACACGTCCACCTTTCCAGTGGCTGAGAGTCCCGTTAGAGAAGATGTGCACTCTTCCAGTAGTTCTGAGTCCCCTTATAGACACGGCTAC